TATCGAGTCGAAAGGTGTAACTGAATTTTGAGAAAAGTGTTTTGCAAAAGGAATGTTCAGTAAAAAAAAATCGCGGTACAAGTTTAGTTGGATCAATTTTCGAGATCAATGAAATATTTTCGAATGAAGTTAATTAATCTAGAATTTATAGCTGTCGGAATTTGGTCTAAAGCACACAAGTAAATTTAAATATGATTGTTGGCATTTAGAAATCGTCACGCGGCTTTAGTAAAACTTCATTCATAATCAGGGTGTAATCTGCGTTCAACCATTAATCACTATTGATTTATGTTTCCTGTTTGTGAGAATTGCCATTGGAGCAGCTAGCTCGAAGTTATCGTAAGTCGTTGCAATGAGATGTGAATTTCATCGCAGTTTCTTTGGATCTTCTGTAGTTCCCATTTCTTCTCCCTTGTTTCTATTCTGCTCTATAGTTTATTAATGATAATATCACGTGAAACAACTATAAAACATCTTTGTCACACCTAATTATACACCTTTCATTTTTATTCAGAGATTCGATATTTCGAAATGGAAATTTCAGTATTGTTGTAAAAATTGGATCGATCAATATCCTTAATCGGGCGGCATTATGCTCGAGATCACTCACCGGTCCAAGTAGAAAGATCCTTCTTCGAGTCAGACGATAACGCGACTATTCACGGCGAATTGTTGTACAAAACTATATATTCAAAATGTCGGTTGATAAGAATATCGAATCGCTGGTTGTTATCGATTCGTAAAGGAACAGTTTATCGAACGTGATGGCGTGAACGATTCTCACGTGTTTATTTTTCACTCTGTCACCTGTTTCTTCACTTGGTGATTCATCGATCTTCCAGCAACACTCGTTTTAATCGTCGTAATCTCAATAATATTCAACTCATAAGCGGAATTATCTATCTAATTATACTTTCCAGTTATGTCTTCTTGTAGATCGTTACCTGATAGAACCTCCTCTGTCGCACACACTTCGTTCCGCCAGATCATAGTAATCCACGCCTCTGTTTGTATCCACAAATTTCCAAGAATCGTCTCGCAGATAAACGGTTTCCTTTGAACCGGTCGATTAGGGGCAAACGAAGGAAAACACTTGTGTCAAATTTGGCCGATTACTCCAGCGTGATCCAGCGATTAGGATCTCGAGACGGCGCAGGTGGAAGAAACTCGAATAAAAGTAGGCACTCGATCTCGAAATGTAACAGGTGTTTCCAATCAAAGGGAAGGATTATGTTCTTTAGCGTGATTTCTGACCGATACACTCCGTTCTGTGGTCCGCGTAAGATAAACACTGTTCTCGTGGCAAACTCTTGCGCCTCGAAAAGCAAACCCGCCTGTTTCATGCGCGGACTTACGCTGCGACGAGCCGCGCCGACGAGACACGAATCGGCACGAAGAGTGGAAATCTTTGATTAGATTTAACACACGTGGACATGTCGTCGGGTTCTTTTTTTACTTGCTCGTATTCTTGCTCTCTGTGAACGTGATTCCTCGCCGGAGTCTTCGGGATCGTTAGGTTTCTTGCTCCTGGAATTTGGTTCTACATTTTGAGTATTCCAAGTTCTTTTTTTTTTTTATTTATTTAAGCTTCTTTTATCTGTGCTGATGTTCGAATTATTTTAGAATTAAGAATCGAGAATTTTTAATTTTATTTCCAGTTTAGATCTATGCTTGAAGTATTGTAGGTGTCTTTTTAAATTTCTTTAGGCTTCTTTTATCTCTCTGAATGGGTTCGAATTATTATTTCAAGGCCTGGAATTGTTTCTTTTAGTACAGAGAGGATTTTTTATTTTTTCAATACTTCGATTTACTTTCTGGAAATCGCTGTAACACTTGTAACGATGATAAGAGAAATATCGAAGCCAAAGTGTTATTTCAAAGAGGAGCAAGCGTGAGAATTTGGAATTTTTGAAGATAGAAATTTTTAGTCGTTCCAGTAGTCGAAATATAAAAAACCTTTGGGCGAGTGTTCGAAAATTTAAAGGTTTCAATTGGTCAAGCAACTCGGTCAGAGCTGTTCCAATTAATTGATGAAGAAGAATCACCAATTGACCCTCTAGAAATTTTTGGAATGAATATTCTAAGTGAAAAATCGAAAGACTTGAACCCACACACCCTTAGATTAGAAGTTACACACTGTAACCACTTCTCTAAAGCGTCATTTAATTCAATATTAATAATTTCAACATTAGAACAATAATTATGCCAACTTTTCACTGAAATATTATTTATTATTTTACTTGTAATACATACACTTCATTCGTTACAGAATACATCTCAAAAGTTCTGAATATAAGTACAACAGAATGTTTTTGTTTTATACTGCACGTGGTTTAATCAAAAAATAGTCTCCTTTAAAATAATCACAACAGTGATAACCATATCATATTTGTGTCATCATTTTTTCTCTTCGCTTATGAAGTATTGCGTAACACGGACACTCCAGGAATTTTTTAATCAAACTTTATATTTTTCAGGCAGTCGAGGCATGCGAATGATGTAAAGTTTTCGAAAATTTGTAGATTTATTTAGCTTTTTCTCATTTGGTAATATCTCCTCGTTTATTATTTAATTAATTGAGATTATGAATTGTGACAATTTTAGCTTCTGTTTATTGACATCTGAATAATTTATTACACTCTCCGGATAAAATTCTGATATAACTTCTTGCGTGATACGTTTTCTCTTTGTTAATGAAATTTCACGTTTCTTTCTGTGATTGCATAGAATGAAAAGTTTCGTAAAAACGTGAGTGAGAAACGCGATTAGGTGTGTCAATAAACTGAACTATGATAAAATCTATTGATAACCAGCGAGTAGAAGCGTGTAAACGTTGCGTAAGCAATAAAGTTTTGTCAGTGCCTTCTTAAACGAACTGGTAATTGCCTGTTACGAATACACCGAGAATATGATACTCGAATTGCGCAAAGGGAGCACATGGAACGAAGTGACGCAGGCGTCACTCTTGCACGAAATTCTAGCAGCGTTAAAAACATCCTTGAAGTGTCAATAACGAGGTAAAAAAATACGTAAAACCTTTGCTTTATTCGGTGTAATTTTCACACGTGAAATATTAACCCTTATCTATCATGTGTCACGTGGCAAGCGGCATAACTCAACAAGTTGATCATACTGATTGTTTGAAAAAAATAAAATACACTGAAAACATATAAATAGACAATTAAAATTGATACGATATAAAATTGTTAAAATTAATTGTTTTTCATTGCAAATATAAAGTGTTTTTTTATGAAGTAATTTAAGTTATATACAAAGTGGTCCTATAAGGGTTAATTTCGTTGTACTTATGTAATACTCACTTGTAGTATTTTCATGAATGGAGAAACGAGTATCAATGGCACCCAATCATTTAACTCGCAGCAAAATGTAATTGTAGTACTTATCGTTTCTTATGAAACTAATCACTCAACTATATTCTTTTTTTGTCAAGTATAGGAAGTTTCAACAGTAAACTACCTTCGATATTTTTCTATCCACTTGTTTTTCCTTCTTCAACGACGTGATGAATTACAACAAAAAATTGCATATTTTTTAAATAAAGGTTACAAAAACAAGTTGCATCTTTGATTTCTTTTTCCTGGAAAACAGGTTAATCGAAGTTACATATTCGAATAAAGAACATTGTAAATAAATGAGCAAATAATTATGAGTATTATTGTATGTTTAATTACTATTCGTGTTGAAAAGACACGTTTAAACAAATGTGAGTGTTTCATAAATCAATCGATCTTATCTATATTTCTGTTGCCTCGAAGAGAGATGAAAGATCGTAATGTTGATAACGTAATGAACGATAGCAAATGTATTCAGTGGAAAATTGAAAATTTTTCCACGAATAGAATTCTATGAAAAGTTTATCTTTGTTAAAAGTGGAAGGAACCACTGGACGTGAATTACGCAATATCAAGACCTGTTTTTCTTCTTCTACGAAACCATAGTACTTGAACTCGCATGAGGTGAATGCTATGGTAGGTAATTGATATTCAGAGCATTCCATTCGCCTAGAAAAAAAAAAAAAATAATGAATCTAGCACGTATTCTCATTTTCATTTCGAATTCACTTTTATTTCCTTTCTCGTCAACAAAATGGCTTCCATAAGAATTCGTTTCGTTCTTCGTCGTGAAATCAAAGTGTACGAAATGCTTCGTAGTCTGGGTTCGACGAAATTCGTCTATCGCAGAAGGTAGTTATCTCGAAGGAACAAAAGTGAAAACAATATCAAGGCTGCTTTATTCGTCTCGTTGCAACTCGAACATATGATACATTTTACGACGAAATAAGTTACTATAACCTGTAATAGAAACTTCCATAAGCACAAACAAAAGATAAAAATAGAACGATAAAGATACTATGAAAAAATATAATAAAAAGTGATCCTCTTGTAAAGCTTCTTCTATTAGTAGAGATTTTATGATCAGTTTTGCATTAAATTACTCCTTTTTTCAAGTTTCAAGAGTTATGGAAAAATATTTTTAACAGGTTTTTTTTTTTAAATGACGCTAGTGAAATGTTAGGTTATCATAGTTTCACCGTTGAAATTGCGTTATTACATCATGTGCTATCTGAGGATTAAATTGTTGGAAAATTATAGTGAAAAGGGATTCTCGAGCGTTTCGTTATCGAATAGCATAGTATTAGTAATAAACGATATTTGTGGATTAAGATTATTCGATCTTCGTGTCTAGACGTTCCTCCGTGAGTGTCAATGATCGTTTTATCGACATTATCGCGTTTAATTTGCAATACTGTTTGACTTTGATCGAATAACTTCTGTGTGCTCAATGAATTAGCACAAACGATGAGTCAATCATGATCACACGAAGTATAAAATCATTGTAGGAATTGTGGTTCGAGGTAGAAAAACTCAGAAAATATTGCTTTATTAATTCCAGCAGCCAATAACCATCACAATTAAAAAAAAACGAACACTTCAAACATCGTTTGAATTCAAAAAATCTTTTTGCGCCTTTTCTCCGAAAAATAATACTTTAATATTCTAAATATTTCAAATAAATATCTTAACCTCACTTTCTACTGTAAACAAAACTATTCATCTAAGTACACGCCACCTTACATCGAAACTCTTTCCGTATAGAAATCATTTTCCATAAATTACAGAAATCTAATATACCAATAGAAATTACGTAACCGCCATATGTTAGCAGCACTTGGCAGTCTAACTCTATTACCATCCATATAAACCATCTTTTACGAATTTCTTAGATCCTTCAATTCACAAAAAGCATCTCTATTCATTGAAATCAAAATTTCAAGTCGATCGAAAATTCTCATCGATCCAAGTTTCCTTTCTTAACACCAACGTGTCTTATCATAGACGAAGTATAGGTGGTTTTATCCACGGAACAGACGGAACGGTTAATTCTCAGCGCGTCCGACAATGTCAGTAGTGGCGCCACGGATCAATCGGACTCGCCTGTGGACCGGGTACGCAGTGTCTTTGCAATCCGTTAAATATTTATGGTAGACGACGATTTTTCGCTTCTTTTTGCGATTATTACGCGCATGCACCACCGTGGACCATACTGAAACAGGATAGAAGGGAAAGGGAAATCCGGGTGATAGAAAACCGCAGTCGAGCTGGGGGGTGGTTCGATGGCCGCAACCCCTGGCAGAGCGGCGCAGTTTCGCTTGTTTTTGATTGTAATT